CCTTCACTTTCCATCCAGCTACCTCTTACTCTTTTTAATACTACAAATGGCTGTGACTTCCTCAGCATGGTTGTTCCCGATTGTTGAGGATAACAATTTCTTTATGGTACAGTACATAATTCTGACAAATTGCTTTGTATGGCTGCCAAACCTTTGGTGATAGTGAACCTCTCTATACTCAGTTGACTCTCAGTTAAAGTCAGTCAGTCAACAAGCATTCATTAAGCACTTATTATGTGCCAGGGACCATGCTAAATTGTAAATAAAAAGGCAAGAGACAATCATTGTCCTTCAGCATCTTATAGTCGAATGGGAGAAGCAACATGTAAATAACTAGGTAGATACCGGATCTACAGAGTAGACAGAAGGTATTTGAAAGTGGAGTGTCTGAAAGGCATACAGTTTTTTGCCATGCTTATACACAAATCTTTTTTTTAGGTTTGTACCCTTTGTAGGTAGAGGATACAATTCACTGATATCTAGTATTATACATACACACACACATGCACACACACACACACACACACATACACAGATTTATAGATATGGTTTGTAAACCTGTGTTTCAAATTGGCATGAGATGGATGGTGGATTAAGACCACATTGGTCAGATTTAAAGTTTTATTTAATTTTATTTAATTAATTTAAATTTTTGGATTTAATTTAAATTTTTAAAATTTAATTAATTTAATTTAATTTCATTAATTTCATTTAATTTTATTTAATTATAACTCCTGGCTCTGCCAAAAATGCAACAGATCAATCTCTAAAATCTTTAAAATGAGTAGATTGAGTGAAATGAACTCTAAGGTGCCTTTTAGTGGTAGATCCTGGAATGCTGTGCCTCTAAGGGTGATGTTAGTGATTTTCTACCTGAGCTTGCTTAAACCAATGTGAAGGCATTTCCCTGGAAATGACTTATGCTGGCCTCCCTACTTTTTTTTTTTTAAGGCAATTGGGGTTAAGTGACTTGCCCACTTACTACTCTTGTAGTAAGTATCAAGTGTTTGGTCTGAGGCTGGATTTGAACTCAGGTCCTCCTGACTTCTGGGCCAGTGTTCTATCCACTGTGCCACCTAGCTGCCCTCCTACTTTAAAAAAAAAAACAGTTCCATATTTCCTGTGTCCTCTTTGTCAAACCATGTCTCTCAACTGTAGTACCACCTCAAGGAAGCATTCCTTGACTTATCTCACCTAGGCTTGCTCCCTCTACATGAAAACCTTGAAATTATAGGTGCACAGCACATTGATTTACTCCAATGTTGCTTTGGTACTATGTTTGACTATTTCATATATTTGTCATGTTTTCTATCTTTTTTCAATTCGATTACAATCTCCCTGAGGGCAAGGATGATGATGATTATCTTTTGTTCCTCCTTTCTTATGATTGAGTATGTTACTCAGCGTACTAATTGCCTGCAAAGTATTTGTGGACTGATCACTTGTGGTTCCAGATTCCTAATTTAAAGTGCTAAAAAGACCATTTGTACCTTGTAACATCTTAGCATCTATACTTGAAGCCTTTACTAGTCATTTCTAGCACTCTATGATTTTAATTTTATTCAAGTTTGCTATAAATTCTCTAATTAGGCTTGATCACTTCTATGTTGCTTATCTCTGTAGTACAGGCAACAGCAATATGCGAAAACAGAGTAAAATGGCGGGAAGTCATTCATTCTATTATCTGTCATTGAATCACCACAGCAAGAGGAAAGAGGGAAGGGCTGAAGTCAAAACAAAGCAGTTTCAAGGTATTTGGATTAGAATGACTTGGACAATTTGAAACAACTGCTTACTTCTAAAAGTTTAAAATTATAGCTTTGTTCTCCTATACCTCACTGGCAGAACCCTAGGGAGCCTCTCTGACCAACTTAATGACATTGGTAAATCTTCGAAGGAGCATCCTGTCAAGCTTGTCCAGGTCAGATGGAATCAAGTCATAGCACTAACTGTTAAGATAAGGAAGGTAGCCAAGGCAAATTGGCATTGAGTGACAATGGTGATTCTGATGAGAAGCATAGCCTTTCCCCAAACACACAGCAATTGAATCCAAGGGAAAATCTCAAGACTTTCCAAAAATTTCACAGTGCTAAATACATTTAGGAGCTTAGCATGTCTGGAGGCTCATTACAGCTACCAAAGCACATGAATTATTAAACATGTCATCTGTGCTATACACCAAATAGGAAAAAAAAAGGAAGCTAAGCAGAGTTTAGAGAAATGCACAAACATTAACCAGGAATATATATTTTCCAAGTTGATGCTTATCTTATTTGAAGCAGTTTAGAGCTATTTACAAGCTGTCCTAACGATACTGGTTTCTGATGGAAAGGAAGTTCAATAAATCTTGCTGTCTTTTGTCTGTCCTTCCTCAAAATTCTCAACCAGTAAATTGGTCTCAACAAATCTGACTTCAGGACAGAAACCCCACGGCCATGCCAATCCACAAACTTGTTACTCATGATAGAGTGTAGAGAAGAAAGCCCTTTTGTAGGCTTCCACCTTTAATGAACTTTAACCATTGCATATAGCTAAGAGGGCAGTAGGGAGTGGATATAGTGCTAAATTTAAAATCTGGGAGACCTGGGTTCAAGTAGTAGTTCTGACACTTACTAGCAATGTCACCAAACATCTCTGCCTCAAACAATTAACTCCCTAGGGTTTATTTGATGATGGGAGTATACATATCAGTTGTTTCTCACACTGATAGAAATCTGTATTCCTGCAACATTGCTGAGATAACACCTGGTGGTTTGGACCTTCAAGAAGAAAGAAGATGCTTCAAAGAGATCAATATAGTAAGCTTCTTAAGATGAAATGTTTACTTTCTTTCTTTTCTTTTCCTCCCTCCCCCTTCTTTCTTTGTTTCTTTTTCTCTTCCCTTCCCCAGCTCCCTCCCCAGCCTTTCACTCTCTCTCTCTCTCTCTCTCTCTCTCTCTCTCTCTCTCTCTCTCACACACACACACACACACACACACACACACACACACACACATTTATCTATGTGTATGAGTTTGACTTTCCTAACAGAATATGAGCTCCTTGAGTGCAGGTACTATCTCAATTCTGTGTGTGCATGTGTGTGTTTGTGTAGTTGTATTAGAAGTAACTTTACAGACACTTATTAGCTGTGTGACCCTGGGCAAGTCACTTAACCTCAATTGCCTAAAATAAAAAAGTAAATTTACAATTCTAATTATTAATTTAAACATAGCATCCAAGAATGAATGGCCTTCTTGGTGGTCAAAGGAAACAAAACTAGTATTACAAATTATCTACAAAATATGTAGCTTCTCTGAGTTTGTTTTTCCTGTTGCCAATACCAAGATCCATGAATTTGTAAAATATTATGTGAGCAGCATAATGATTTTGTTTTTATTTTTACTCAAATATGTACTTACCTGGCTGGTTCCACTCTCACTTTGAAATTCTGACCACTGTTTGCTGACTTTGCGATCAGTTTCAGTTCTGACCACTTTGTCTCACTAATGACCAACAACTATTGCTCAAAATGGACTGCCTTCTTCTTGTTAGCCTCATGTAAACTGGTCTGTCTGCTGTAGTTTTCCACTACAAATGCCCACCTTGTGCTGCTTGAGGTTGAACTTCAATGACAATCAATCAATCAATCATCATTTATGAAGTACCTCCTGTACGGTAGGCAACTAGGTACCATTACAGTGGATACATGCATACATATTTATGTGTGTGTGTGGGGGGGGTGTGTGTAACACCCCCCCCATATATATATATATATAGTGGATACATGCATACATATTTGTGTGTGTATATATATGTATAGCACACATATCACAAATATATATAGTGGATACATGCATACATATTTGTGTGTGTGTATATATATGTATAGCACACATATCACAAATATGTGTATATATGTATATATATTTATATGTATAAGTATATGTCTGTACACATACCTAGACACACACATATATTCATTTGTATATACATGTCTATAACCATCTATCTATCATTCTGAGGACAAATTTGAAAGGATTTTTTTTTTCATTAGCTATTTTTTGGGGCTAGTTGCATTATTTCTGGTCCCATGCACTATTGCTGATGAGCACAAACCTTAAGCAGCAATATATATTTTCCAAGTTGGTGCTTGTCTTATCTGAAGCAGTTTAGAGCTATTTACAAGCTGTGCTAATGATACTGGTTTCTGATGGAAAGGAAGTTCAATAAATCTTGCTGCCTTTTGTCTGTCCTTGCTCAAAGTTCTCAATCTGTGGGCTGGTCTCAACAAATCTGACTTAAGCACAGAACTCCTAGGGCAGTGACTCTCATGTATTATACTTTGGACTTTAATGTATCTGTTGTCTTCTCAACATTAGAGTGAATACTCACTCCAGTGGTATGATTGTCACACATCTTGCCTTTTCATCTCATGTAATTCTTGTCATGGTTTTTCTATAAATCCTCCAGAGAGGATCTACCTAATGCATTCTGGAGTCCTTTGTCTATTCATTCATTCATTCATTCATTCATTCATTCATTCATTCATTCATTCATTCATTCATTCATTTATCTAGTTATCCATCTATTCATTCATTCATTCATTTACTTATTCATTCATTCATTCATTTATTTATCTATTTATCTATCTATTCATTCATTCATTCATTTGTTTGTTTGTTTGTTTATTTATTTATTTTTTAGTGCTCCAAGAATATTGGTGCTTCGGGTACTTGAATTGTCCCTCTGCTATCCTTCTGTCAGATAGCATGTTTTACACAGTAGGTGCATTTAAATGTCAAATGAACAATTTTATTTTAAGTTTATACTATTACAAGATGGTTTTCCTGTAACTCCTAACCCTGCAAAGATGGTGAAAAATACAGAATGCTTGCAACGATAACAAATGCTGGTGTTTACATTAGTAATGTAGAATTGACTGTGACATTAAGCACATCTGCCCTTAGAATTTCATGTTATTAATTTAGAAGTGAAATTTGTCCTCTCTCTGTTCTTAGCCTGGCATTCTTCAGGATGACCTAGAACCAGTAGGAAGAAGCCTAAATATGAGAACTTGATTTTTCACAAATGTGCTTCACAGAAATGTAAGTAGTACAATCAAACCATGGTGAGGGCATGAAGATATTGGAACGAAGTGCTTCCTTCTTGCTTGGTACTTTCTGGTTTACAAATTCTTTTCACATCTATTATGTGATTTGCTTCTCATAATATTCCCATGAAGTAGGCAGGCCAAACAGTCATCTAAATTTGATGGATAAGCAAACTGGGATTCAGATTTTAATTGTTTGCTACAAGCTGGTGGAGCAGAGGCTAAAACCTACAGTTTCTGATAGTTAGTTGTGATGTGTGTCATGTCTTCCATTAAAATGTGAATTTCTTAAAACAATTATCTTTTTTTAGTTTTATCCATAGAGCTTTCGTATGATAAATGCTTCCCCCCCCCCATTCATTTACTTATTCCTAGTTGGACGCTCTTTCTACTATAGTGTGTTGATGCAACTAAGTCATTATCAACCTACCTGGAAAAGGTAAATGCAGAAATGAGATGTGCAAATATCTAAATAGTTGTTTGTATCTTGCCTCCCCTTTTAGAATGTGTGCTTCTTGAGGGCAAAGGGCATATCTTTGCCTTTCTTTGTATTCCCAGCACTTAGCCCAGTGCCTGATACATTTTGTTTAGTAGTTTTTCAGTCATGTCTGACTTCTCTAGACATGTCTGACTCTTCAAGACCCTTTTGGGGTTTTCTTGCCAAAGATACTGCAATACTTTGCCATCTCCTTCTCCAGCTCATTTTACAGATGAGGAAGCTGAAGCAAACAGGGTTAAGTGACTTGCCTAAGGTCACACAGCTAGTAAGTGTCTGAGATCGGATTTGAACTCAAGAAGAGGAATCTTCCTGACTCTAGGCCTGACACTCTAACCATTGCACTACCTAACTGCCTATCTGGTACACAGTAAGTGGTTAATAAATGTTTATTGACTGACTGTGTAAAGCAAGGTAGCCCTAGAAATTTTCCCCCCACAGGATTCCCCAGATTTATGCACTCCAAGAAAGGGAAATCTTCATTCCATTCTAGGTAGGGAGAGCCAGACAGTGAGTACAGCGCATAGAGCAAATGAAACAATTTTTCACCAAGATAGCAGAATTTATATTTCTAAATCAGTGTGTTCCCCTACAAAATGGCCCCGATGGGAGTCTGTGTTCCAGTGGTACCACCATTGCCGAAAACAGATTTGGAGCTCCTTTGGAAGAAATGCCTTCAGAGCCAGCAGCACATTATTCAGCATTTGACAAAGCAGACAAAAGATATTTCAAGCCAAGTCTCATGAATAAGATGTGGATGAGCCTGGATTACTGCACCTGGTAAAAAATAAGACATGACCCTAATGTAATGAGAATCATTTTCTTTAGTGGCTCATAAACTGCCTCCAAAAATGGTTTGAGCAACAGCAGCATAATTGAAAGTATATAGTTTCCCAAGGTGACTAGTCTGAAGGGGACAGCACTTTTTCATGTGAGTAAATCTGGTGTGCTTATTTTTGAAAACGTCACTATTGTTTTTTTGGAGTATAAATTTATAGTATCAAATAATATCTAACCCACATGGGAATCCATGAAGAAGACTTAAAAGCCTCCTTCCTGTAAAGTTATCTCCCTTCGTCATTTTATTTTTCTCAAGAGTTATTTTACATTCTGCCTTACAAACTTTCATTCTCTTAAAAGTCAAATTCTAGTCAATACACATTTTTAAGTGCTTACTATTATGTACTAGGATAAACAAAAATAAATACTACTGTGTGCCAGGACCCTCTGAGGATACAAAAAAAGGCAGAACATACACACAAACATACATACACACACATGTATATGTATATACATCCACGTATCTTATATATGATATGTATATATACACATATAATATATGTGTGTATGTGTGTGTGTGTATATATATATACACATATCTATCTATCTATCTATCTATCTATCTATCTATCTATCTATCTATCTATCTATATATACATACATATCCATATATCTTAAATGGAAGATAATCTCAGAGGTAGAGAACTGAGTTGGGGGAGGTGGACTAGGAAAAGTCTGTTGAAGAAGGTGGAAACTAAGTTGAGATCTGAAGCAAGCTGGGGAATCCAGAAAGCAGAGGTGAGAAGAAAAAAAAAAGGCTTTTGAGCATGGATAATGACCAGTGAAAATGCTGAGTCAGAAAATGAAATGTTGTATCCAAAGAGTATATGTATATGTATATGTATATGTATATGTATATGTATATGTATATGTATATGTATATGTATATGTATATGTATATGTATATGTATATGTATATGTGTATGTGTATGTGTATGTGTATGTGTATGTGTATGTGTATGTGTATGTGTATGTGTATGTGTATGTGTATGTGTATGTGTATGTGTATGTGTATGTGTATATGTATATGTATACGTATATGTATACGTACATGCACATGTAATGTATACGTATATGCATGTGTATGTGTACGTGTGTATATGTACACATATACATATATACACATACATATGTATCTTTGTACATGTGTATGCATATGTGCATATGTATCCAATGTGATCACCTGCACATATATACACATATATTTAAATTGATCACGTGGGTATGTGTACAATACATAAACATGTACATGTACACCATATATGTATACGTACACACAGACACATTATATGTATACAACACAGCACATATGATTGCATTTTATTATCTGTGTATATACATGCATAGAATAAATATATATAATCAAATGCAATTATCTATGTATGCATATATATACACATACATATAACCCCATGCATGCATGCATATGCCTATGAGGGGGCAATTAGGCAGAATAGCAGAGATAGTGCTGGGCCTGAAGTCAAGAAGCCTCATATTCCAGAGCTCAAATTTGGCCTCAGATACTTACTAGCTGTGTGGCCCTGAGCAAGTCATTTAACCATGTTTGCCTCAATTCCTTATCTATAAAACGAGTTAGAGAAGGAAATGGGATCATGATGAGTCAGACATGACTGAAACAATTGAACAACAATAGATGTATACACATGTATACATGGAAACACATTTGAACATATGCCTATATGTGTGTGTTGTATGTATATATCATGTATACTCAATTACATATACCTGCATATATAAAGATATATGTAATTGCATTTGGTCTATACATATCCCAATCACTGTAACATATAGCACTTGATGAACCTTGACGTACTTGATAAATGATAGCTCTTCTCAATAAACATGTAGCATTCAAGGGAGACCTATCAAGTGAAAGGGGGATGAGAATCATAACCACACTTTGCCTTACTCTCCCTCCACCATTCCTATTCATTGATATAGCTCTCTGAACCTCTGCCATGAGGCCTCGCTGATAGAATAGAATCCAATAAACAATTATTTGAAGGCTTAGAGAAAGAAGGTGCTTGGAGCTGCCCACGGCCTTGAAGTATTACTTTATCTCTACTCAGACATGTAACATTTCTTTTCAACTAGTTTCTTTTTGAACGATGAGGATAAAGGTAAGTTTTTTCAAAGTAAAGTTAGTGGGTTTGTACTTTAAAATAATGCCAGGCCTTTTAATTATTTCATGAAACTGTTGAGAAAAGGAAAGAGCAGCAGGCATGCCTTTTGACAGAGAGGAGAAGTTAGGAACTAACGTTTTAGCTTACCAAGAAGGGTGTTTAAAAATGCACAGAAATGTGAAACTTTCACCAATAATAAGAATAATCCATATGGCCTCTCTTCATCCAAATCTAACTTAAACATCATTGGAATATGAATGTGACTTTTTCGAAAAGGAGTTATACATTGAAGTGCCTCAGTTTCCATCCCTAAGTATTAAAATAACACATTTATAATATCAAAGTGGTTGTTGTTCAGTTGTCAGACTCTTTCTGACTCTTTTGGAGTTCTCTTGGCAAAGATCCTGGAGTGGTTTGCCATTGCCTTCTCCAGCTTATTTTACAGATGGAGAAACTGAGGTAAAAAAAGGTTAAGTGACTTACTGGAGGGTCACATAGCTATAATATGTGTCTGAGGCCAGATTTAAACTCACAAAGATGAGTCTTTCTTACTCCAGACCCAGCACTCTATCCACTGTTCCACTTGAGGAGGGGGTGAACTCCATGACCAATTAGTACAAAGCCTAAACAGAGTAGTACCACGGCATGCCCTGGGACCTGGGTTATTATTTGAAACTAGGTAATCCTAGATTTTCTTAAAGTCTCAATTCTGATCACTGATGATATGATGAGTTAATAATGATGCTTTTGGGTATTTGTACAACATTATTCTACTGAAGAGCCCAAAACAATTTACTGGTATTAACTTGTTACTCCTCCTATAAGACAATTTGGAATCTTTGCCAGATCATGTCAACAAATGTTTTAGTACAAGGAAACTGGGAAAGGAACTAGGATTCACCCCACAAAAGGCTCTTAGGGATTTAACTAATTCAAAATGCCTGTAGTAAGTGTGTAAACAAATGTATAGCAAAGACAGCCAACCCAACAAAAGAGAATAATTGGTTCCAGTTGTCTCTCATGATACTTCTGGGTGATTTTCAAGGAGGAAGCCCAAGAAGTAATACCACAGTAATCCAATAAATGTTGCCATAGCCTTGGCCCCTATGGCACTCTGAGGAGGGGAGATTTAAGAGGCAGTTATAGGTAGCTATGAAAAAATACCATTTCCAGACAAAGCATTAGTTCTAAGATTTCTTAGAGAAAATTAAAAAAAAAAAAGAAAAAAGAGGAAAGTGGTTCAAGTTGCTTTAATTATACGGTAAGGATTTTTTTTACCTCAGCCTAAAATGCTCCACTCAGATCAAAGTTCACATGACCAGGAAAGGGCAAAAAAGATTTAGAACTAGGTCTTCTACTTCTGCTCTTTCAGATTCAGCTCCCTGCTCCAAGAACTTATAATATCAGTGCCAACTTTTCACAAATCTTTGTAAAATAACACGGCCATTGCTAATATCAACTAAAAAAGCCATTCAATAAAGAAACCCTCCAATACTTATTTATTGCAATAATTTC